TTTCTTTCTTTTTTAATTTTTAAAATTTTCAATTACAGTTTACATTCAGTATTACTTTGTATAATTTTCAGGTGTACAGCATAGTGGTTGGACAATCAGACTTTACAAAGTGATGTCCCCGGTATTTCCAGTACCCACCTGGCACTATACATAGTTATTACAACATTCTTGACTATATTCTCGATGCTGTACTTTCCAACCTCATGACTATTTTCTTTTTGTTTTGTTTTGTTTTGGTTAACCCTCACCTGAGGATATTTTTTTTCATTGAATTTTAGAGAGTGGAAGGGAAGGAGGGAGGGGGAGAGAGAGAGAGAGAGAGAAACATCAATGGGAGATACACATAGTTGGTTGCCTCCTGCCTCCTGCCTCCGGCGAGATTGAACCTGCAGCCCAGGTACATGGCCTTGGCCAGGAATTGAGCCCATGACCCTCCGGTTCTCGGGCCAGCGCTCTGAGCACTAAGCCACACTGGCAGGGCACTGTGACTGCTTTCTAACTGCCAATTTCTACTTCTGAATCCCTTCACCATTTTCACCCAGTCCTCCAACACCCTCTCCCCTCTGTCCTCTGTATCTGTGAGCCTGTTTCTGATTTGTTTGTTCATTTACATTGTTCTTTAGATGCTTCCGTTGGCGTATGTTGCTCTAATCCTTTGTTGGTCACAAGTCACCCAGAAATTATCTTTCGGTTTTGCCAGTGTTCATCCCAAGTCCTTCAGAGCCAGTGATCCATTAAAATGTAGATAGTTCCTGGATTTAAAACACTTGGCTAAAGAAATACATTGGCATCAAAACAAGAAAGAAGAGATACTTCTTTTTTGACAACCTGAATTAGTGTCAGAAAAGAAAGCGATGTATTGAACTTTCCATTTTAACTTAGAAAAAGAATTATCTTCATTGTTTGGACATGCAATTGTTTAGTAACTGATTAGGACCTAAGGTAAGAAAACCAGTCGTACAGTTTATTACTCTTGATTATGTTATCAGAATTTGTTTACGGCAACAAAATGCAACAAAGCAAATGAAATTAGGTACAGTAATTTAGACCTAAGCTCAACTCTCAAAATATGGCTTTGCTCCTACACTACCTATGACTGCTAAAGCATTTTTAAAACCCTAACAATTTAAATATTCTGGGACTTTAACAACCAGCATCATGTCTGACACGAACATTAAATAAATGTTGAATGAGTGAGTGAACGATGGAGTAGCTAAACTCCATGACATGGAAATTATAAATGTCCATATTTTCCAATGAAGATATTGAGGCACAATGAGTTAAAATAGCTTGTCTGATATCACCCAGCAAATAAATGTTGGTATTACACTTTGAAGTAAAATGACCTGACAATAAAGTCACTTGCCTAATTTCTGCATCATACTATAATATATAACGTTACTTAAGTTTAGGAAGGTTATTTAGATTTGGGAGGCAACATGGAATGCTTGTTAACTCTGTTTTCAGGTCTTGAAATGACAGACTTGAGACACAAAAATAGCCTCACCAAATGTAGGAAGGCAAAATCACACCAAGCATGTTTTCCGAACACAATGCTTTGAAATTGAAAATCAACTACAAAAAGGAAGCTGGAAAAACTACTAATATGTAGAGATTAAATAACATGCTACTAAACAACTGTGTCAAAGAAGAAATAAAAGATATGACAAGGCAAGAAAATTTGGTAATTTAAGATCAGTTTCAACTCAATGCCCCCATCACCACCAAAAGCTTTTAAATCACCTTTAAAATTTAAATATGCATTACACCTCAATTACTAGAAAACTATCATATTGGGATATTTTAAAAATTAAATGAAGGAAGAAGTTCCTATTGAAATCTGACTAACCTTTAATAATCACAAGGGCCATATTCTATACATGCAATTTCATTTAATCTTCAGAACAATTCTATCATGTAGAATTAATACCATCCTATTTAGTGGATGACAGTGTTGGCACACATGTGATTAAGTAGTTGTCCATGCAACATACAGCCAAACACAGAAGGGAGTTGGGATTCCAAACAGGCTACTTGACTTCATCACACACACACACATACCCCACTAAACTACCCCATAACAAAGGCTTTCATACTTTTCTAACTGCAACTCCAAGAAACATAATTTGCATAATCCAATATACACCCACATGTACAACCATAAAATATTTCCTGAAAAATATTTACATATAATGCAATGTGATATTTTCTTTCTGATTCTTTATTCATTTTTTAAATAATGTTTGCAACCCTCTAAATTAATATGATAAATTACTGAGGGGTTGCACTTACACTTCAATAAGTGCTATAATTAAAAAAGTATGCTAATTAGTTAAGCTGTTGAAAAACAATTAGATCTGAGGAACAAAATAACAGAGTGGAAAAAAATTCAAGCTCTTAACTCTGTCAAATTTAAGGTCAGGCCTATCTTAAATATTTGTGCAAACATAGCCAAATTAATTTACTTCCTTATGATTCATTTTTTAATCAGTAATCTGGCAATAATAACATAAAATGCAAAGGCTTGTTGTGAGGATTAAATTATCTAATGTACACGAAATGATTATCATATAGTCTAGGACATGGTAAGGACTCAACAAATTATAGCTATTAGGGAAGTATACCATTTTCTAACATAGGGTATTTTTTTCTTAGCTGAATACATTGATCACATATGAGTAAATCTCTCAGTACCTGGATTTATTTTAAATATAAAATTATCTAATTTACTATATCCGTTTATCACAAATGAAAAATAGGTTATGTAATTTTCCATACCTACCATCTTTGATAGGCTAGTATATACTGTATCCATTCATATTGTTCAGATAATGGAGAAACCACCACATATTTACAGAACCCAATATATCTTAGAATATTTTCTTACCCTTTAAATAGCTATTCATTATTTATTTTATTAAGCAATTTATTAAGAAAATTTATTAAGCAATTTCCATGTTTGATATTTTAAGTGGCTCAAAAACCTTTTTACAGTACCTTTAAATAAAGTTAAAGCTAATTTGAATAAAATTACATCCAGGAAGGAAATATCAAATTAAGATTAAAAAGCTGTAAAGACTGCGTTTGCTAATTCTCCCCCTCACACCATGAGATCTTTTTCCTTACTTCCCAAATTGAGACACAGCATTTATTTTAACTTCCTCCTTTTCCCGTTTTTCAAAACCCATCTTGCCAAATAAGCTAACTCTCACAATATACGTATCGGTTTCGATGCATATGCGCAGACATGGGAAAACCCCAGAATCCACGCTAATTTACAACAGTGGTTCTCAAACAAGATTTTGTTTTGTGAACACTACAGGGCAAGTTTTAAAAATACTTTTGCGTGTCTCTGCGCCATAGATTGTGAAAGCTGCCCAGGTCATTTTAATGTGCAGTCAAGTTTGAAAACCACTGTACGTCTTAGAGCATCCTGCTTTCCCAAGGTCTGGGAGACAGCGATTGGATCACAGTTCTGTGGATGAAGTTGCCAAACTGGCAACTGCAACTGTCATGTCTTTGTTTAGGTAAAGAATATCAACCCAGAAGATTACCTTCCCTCAACCTTTCTCTTAACTCCAATAAAAATCCAGGCAAGGTATTTAAGAAGCAAGATTTTCTGTAGAAGTTCTTTTTCTCCTTGACTTTTCAAACTGTGGCTATTTAAACTATCTGGCAAAAGTAAGATTAAACAACAGTTTGGCTGTTCCAAAGAAGAATCTCCAGCCAAGGTATGTATTAGAAATGTAGATGTAATGATTTTGACTTACATGTAAGGATTTTGACTTTGAAGTTTGCATTTTTGATCATATTCTCAAGCTTATCATTCTCGTATGTGATAAAATATAATGGAATATTATTCAGCCTCTAACAAGAAAAAAAAAATTGTTCATTTGCAACAACATGAGTGAAACTGAAGAGCATTTTGCTAAGTAGAATAAGCCAGAAAGAAAAAGGCAAATACTGCATGGTATTACTTATATGTAGATTCTTTTAAAAAAGTCAAACTCATAGAAACAGAAGGTAGAAAAGTGGTTGCCAGGGCCTAGTGGTTGGGGATAGGGAGAGGTTGGTAAAAAAATACAAATTTCCCCAGTTGTAATACAAATAAAGTGTGAGGATCTAAAGTATAAGACAGTGACTGTAATTAACAACACACTATTGTACAATTGAATTTGCTAAGAGACTAGAACTTAAATGTTTTCACCTAAAAATATAAAAAAAAGGGGGGGTAAATATTCAAAATGATGTAGGTATTAATTAACTCAGTGAGGGGAATCTTTTCACAATATATACATATATCACTCATCACATCAGAACCTTTATGTAATCTTACAATTTTATATGTCAGCAATAACCCAATAAAGCTGAAGAAAAAGTAGAAATAGTCATGCTACCTAAAAATCTTAGGACTATTTAAAATATATATATAGTCAGTGTAAAGCTCACCAAATCTTTAACATTTGTGAAAGTGTGTCACGAAGAACATCACATTGAATGCTTACACAATTTATATCCAGTTTCACAACCTACTGACTCTTTTCTGCTGATATCTTTTAATGGTTTCTAATGCTAATCATGAGTAGAAGAGTCTTAAATATATAAAAATAGATATCCATTTCTGCTGTTTTTGTTTAACCTGGATATTTTATGTGTTTATAAACTACCTACTAAGAAAGCCTCTTTAAAAAACATTTGTAAAGGGGTTGCCTCATGAGCATACCACTGATCTGAGATTACCTTTAATAAAATACAAGTCCCATCATTTGTTATAAAATATCAAAAAACATAACAATATTGCCATGTATGTATGCTTCTGCCTTTTCCCAAAATTTCAAGCATATCTTTAAAAGGCTGTTGTGCTGCTTTTTTTTGGTCATGTCATAGAACACGTACCAAAATCCTTTCTAAATTTTGGTTTTAAATTAAGAAAAAAATAATTTTATCAATTTCATTAACCACTGGTAATCTTGTTCTGCTTTCAGGGGCAACATTAAAAAATGAAAGAATTAACTTTCACCTTCAGCCTACTGGCTCTTGCTGCCTGTTTCACAGTAAGTTCCCCCCAGTCTTAAATACCCTTGATATACTTCTTATTAATCATAACTTCAAAGTTTTGATACCAATGATGTTCTCCTTCTTTATATAACAATATAGTGTCAAGAGGTCATCCTTATGGATTTGTTCCTGTTTTCCTTTCTCTTTCTCGTTTACATCTGACTCTCTGGCTGGTAGTTGTGAGCGTGAAGGGCAGAGGGCAGGTAGAACCTGGGAAAGCTGTCTCTTACTAGGAGAAGCTCTTCCTTTTTTCTTTTCTTTTTCAAAAGCGCTACAATCACACTGACAAAAAATATAATTGAAGCTTACTAAGTGTTTTAAGTAAGGCTACAGGAAATGGGAGAATAGAAAGTTCAAGATCAATTTTGGAAAGGGACAACAAGGGCATCAATGCACAGATCACTGATTGCATAACCGTTTTAATTAAAAATATTTGGAAAGACTTAAAATTTAGAAAGCCTCTATGATCTCTAAAAACACACTGGCTACAGTTAACATGTTTCTGTTAATTGACTGAAGAATAAATTCCTACTTTACCATTTACTCCACTCTTTACTTTTTCACCTAAGGAAAAATAAAAACTGGGGCGGGAAAGGTCATTAACTCTAGAAACACTTTCATTCAAATTTTTGAAAAGCATTTGGCAGGCTCCAAAATCTATAATGCAAAGAAGAAAGGAATAAGTTTCTTAGCCAAAAACATCAATTGAATAATACGAACCTCAGAGAGAGAATAGTTACCATAGTATATGCTGGTATTGGAATGACAGAGAGGGTATGTTTCAACTTTAATAATTTCTGACAATCTACTGTGTGCTGAGCCCAGTGCTGGATGACACAAAAAGTACCAATGTTGAATTCAAAACTGAGAGTTTCATAGAGTAGCTCTTCATTTCGTAGTAAATTCCTGAAAGTACTTAGGAATCCATCTACATTACACAGTGAACAACTACATGTCAATAGGAACCCACAATAATACAAGCAGATAAAGTGGAGTTATTATTCGGTACATTTAATGACATCTGTGTAAATATTCTTGGACAAGTGGCTCATTTTCACTGAGCTCATATTCTCACTTATAATATGATGTTGAAGCGAAAAAATATTTCATTCCATGGGATATCTGTATCAGAAACATGTGATCTAATTATTCAGAATGTGTATGTTCAGACCCTATCCTAGAACTGAAAGAGAAAAAAAAATCTGACTTTTGGGCCTGGGAACCTGCACTCTAGAAGATTCTTATGCATGCTGATGTTTGAGTCCACTCAAATACATTTTTTTAAGTTAACTTCTGATACTATTGGGTTACAATTACCTGAGGTATATAAAGATAGATTTTTAAGGTAAATTCAACTGAAATCAATACATCAAATGAAAAGCCTTAAGTCAATGATTATAATTAATTATCAAATTTATCATGCTACAATCAACCACTTTTTTGGACACATTCCCCCTTACATTGTGGCAAATATGACTCACTCACTACATTAATAAACTTGGCTTCAGCCTTTCCAAAAATATAAATACATGAGATAAAGAAAGTTCTATGGACAAACAAACTTCAGAAAGTTCGGTAAAATGATATCTAACTTTGTTGACTAGAGCAATTTTCAAAAACAATAACAGAGAAAATGCTATCCTGTCCCTTTCCTACACGCCTCTGTTTCATACTGACAATAGGCAACTTCTAAGGAGCCATATACAAAGCAGCATTCTTCAAGAATGATTTTAGGTAAATGGCAGTGAACAGGACAGACCAAACTTTCCTAATGTCGTGGAGCTCATATGTAATGCAGGAAAGGGAGGAGGGAATGGTGAAGGTTAGTAGGGGTGGAAGGGGCATAGAACAAGGTTGTAATTTTAGATAGGAGAGCCAGGTACAAAATGACATTTGATTAAAGACCGGGAGAGGTGAAAAAGCAAACTATGCAAGCAGAGAAAGCAGGAAATGTCAAAATCGACAGGCGTCTCTCTCATGAGGAACAAGGTCAGTAGGCCTGGAACAGAATGAGAGGGGAAGACAGGATCAGGAGGTGAGAGCAGAGGGATGGAGGGAGATACATAGCATACAGTCTCATGAGCCTTCCTCTAACTTGGGATTTTACTCTGAGCAATGTGCAAAGACAGTACATTATGTCACTGCAGTCTTAGAAAGCGACACCCTCACTTCCCATATTCAGTGATGTCAAAAAAAAAAAAAAAAATTATAAATATCCAAACAGCATCCATAAATATTTATTTAATGCTGCCCATTGATAGTGGTGCAATAGTGGTATACAAAATTGATCAATATGATCTCTGACTTTAAGTGACTTAAATCTGTTTAAGAATACAGGATAAATTGGTAATAATAGCCAGGAATTAACAAACGTTTTCCAAAAAGTACCAAGGAGTAAATATTTAGGCTTTGTGGGATATGAGGCCTCTTAATCGGTTACCTGATCAACTCAGCCAAAGGAGAACAAATGCAGTCACAATAAACAAATAAGTATAACTGTGTTCCAATAAAATTTTATTTACCATATCAGGCAAGCTGCATTTGGCCCACAGCTTTAGTTTAACTCCTGAGCTACAAAGGCACGTGCCATGCAATAGGGCAAGTAAAAGCCTAATATATCATTTATAAAATAATCATAAGATTAACTCAACATTAAGAAGTTCACAAAAAGTAACATTTAGTTTCACTGACAATCAAAATAGGCCAAATTATATGCTAAATTCTTTAGGTCATTTTTGAGTCATTGATCTTTGTAAAAGAAATTGGGTTGTGTGTCAGGAATAGAATCCAGAATAAATAGCAAATTGGATATGAGGAAGTATAAACAAAAAATCTAGTCTAGCCTCCCCCAATATCTGGCTAGGAATGGAAAGGAATAACCTTGTGATGATAGTGCAGGATACACTAGGTGGTCAATGGGCTTCTTTAGTATATGAAACATAAGTTGAAATTGTATAGCCTGAGATCATAAAGTCAGGAATAAAAAGAGGTTGGAGGGGAAAGGTGACAATTAAGAGGGGAAAGGCCCTAGGGAGGAAGAGGGGATCCATCCATACAGCACACAGGTGAAGAAGTTGATCGTAAACAGAAAGGGGGACAACTGGATACAGGTGAGTTTTATAGGTGTGTAGGCAGAAAAGCAAAGGCCTCAGTGTGATAGCCTCGATTTTGTGAAATAGAAGACAAGATCATCTCTCTAAGGGGTGGGAGGGAAGAGAGGTAGAGGAGTGTGGGTGCTGAGAAGACAGCCTTTTGGGGGAAATGGGGAAGAATGGATTAGCACTGCTGAGGTACCAGATGAGGGCAGACACTGTGAATCTCTAGTGTCTCTAATAGTTAGGGATTTGTGGCATTCTCCAGCAATGTTCACCAGCCTGGAAGTGGAAACAGAGAAAGTAATCTGTATAGAGTTGATCTAAAAGTTTGATGTTGCCTAAGTCAATATGTCAGAAAGACACAGAAGCAAGAAGTTGAATGTTGCAAGGGAGTGACTAGAGTCTTGCGCCTTGCCAAGATTTCTGTTCAAACAAACTGGTGTTCTGACAGTTTCTAGAATAAGATTTGTATTTTCCTGATACTGTTCACTGGCTTACAACATTCATTTAATGTGATTTCCCTCCTCCTCATTTCTACTCTATTAATTAAGCCTCATTTTAAATGCTATATTTTCTACCAAGCAATCCTTAATCTTCTCTCTTTTGCCAAAAATAAACTTTCCCTCCAAATTGTTATGATTGCATCTAGAATTTCTTGCACATTTATCAATTATAATTTGAACTACTGTCATATACGCAAGCTGGCAGTTGCTACCCTGGCAATCATAGAGTACGAAATAGTTCAAATTTATACTGAGTCCTTACCTTATGGACTATGTCTAAACATTGTATGTAAATTATATGTAATCTTATCTATCACTATATAAGATAAGAACTATTTCTAGCACTATTTCAGAAGTGAAGAGACAAAGGCAGAGAGAGTAAGCACCTCAGCTAGCTTGCTACAGCACATGGATTGGTTCTAAGAATCAGACTCCAGTGTCTTTGTCTTAAGCAGTGCACTATACTGCTTCCCACAGACTTTTTAATGTATTGTCTTGAATTGTAGTTTGGGGGTTTATGATTTTACTAGATTTCAGACTTATATAAGGAAGGGTTCATATCTTAAATATGTTTCCTTTAGCCCCTAAAATATGTGTTGTATATAATGGTTTCTCAATAAATAGTTACAGAATTAATTAATGGTTCAGAGCCTGGAATCTCACTGATTTCTTGGAATGTGGAATATAAAGAACATTCACAGGTAGTTCTGTTGCCTTGCAGAACATTTGGTCCTGTGTAAAGCGTCCAGGGGAACATTCAGTCCATGCCAAAAGATTTTTGAAATTTAGTCCTGTCCAAACCATCCATGCTTAGAAAATGTACCTGGGTCCAAACAGCCTATAATGTTTATACTTTTGGTTTACAAGATTAATAAATTTAAAAGACTATCACGCTTTATTGGCTCAATAATTGTATTGTGACTGCGTTGCCAATAATAACTCTTCTCGCCACCAGATTCTAGCTGGTAACAGCACATGGGGTGAGAGAGATTGGTCAGTATGGACCAAATGTCTCTGTGGACATTTTGGACAGGACCAAATGTATACCACTCATACAGCGGAGCATTTACTTCCATTGAACCAACTTCCGAAAGCAGCCTTTTTCATGAGGCAATCAAGGCAATTTGGTCCCCTCTAAAACCTTTAGGTCCGAAAGCAGTCTTTGTTTTGTTTTTGCCTTTCACACCATCCTACCTTTCATTGAGCACCAGAGTTCCCGAAGGGAGGAAAATATTCTGTTCTTCCTTTCTTCTAACTTATTTTTACGGTAAAATATAGGACTATATGACTTCTTTACACATTGTATGCAGGAAACGTATTTATACGTTTTACGTTGACTGGTAGTAGAGCGCGCGATAAAAACTACCCGCGATAAAAACAAAGTGTTTAATTACATATATTAATGTTTGAACTTTAAGTGATTTACATTTAAATCACATGAAACAAGAAATTTAAAACCTTGTTTTTGTGTTTCTGTTTGATTTTTATCACCACAGTCCAGTTACAGCCAGAGAGCTCCCAGGAGACCCTATGGACCAGCGCAGCCGCCACCCTACCTCCTGCCTCCCAGGCCAGGAAGAGCCCCACCAGGCTTCGCCCCTCCCTACGGCCACCCTTTTCCTCCCCCTTTTTACCCAATGGGGGGCATCCCTTACCCCCCTCCCTTCAGACCACAGCCCATTCCATCTCGACCCCTTCCATCAAGCCCTGTGAGACAACCTCACCCTCTTCCAGTGTATCCAAATCCACTTTTTCCACATGGATCTTACCATCCAGCACCTATCCGGAGGCCAAAACCCTTATATCCAGATCCTAATCCTCCTCCCCCCAAGAAACCTCAGCCCACAGTTAAACCAGCCTCTAAACCTAGAACCACAACCCTTACCACTGCAGAACCTACCACCACTACAACAACTACCACCACTTCCACGGAACCCACCACCACAGCAACCACCACCACTTCCACAGAACCCACCACCACAGCAACCACCACCACTTCCACAGAACCCACCACCACAGCAACCACCACCACTTCCACAGAACCCACCACCACAGCAACCACCACCACTCCCATAGAACCCACTACTGTAGTAACTACCACCACTTCCACGGAGCCCACCACAACAGCAACAACCACCACCCCCATAGAACCCAAAATAGTAGCAACTACCACCACTTCCACAGAACCCACCACAACAGCAACCACCACCTCTTCCACAGAACCCACCACCACTCCCATAGAACCCACTACAGTAGCAACTACCACCACTCCCATAGAACCCACTACAGTAGTAACTACCACCACTTCCATGGAACCCATTACAACAGAAACCACTATCACTTCCACAGAACCCACCACCACAGCAACCACCACCACTCCCATAGAACCCACTACAGTAGTAACTACCACAACTTCCATGGAACCCATTACAACAGAAACCACTATCACTTCCACAGAACCCACCACCACGGCAATCACCACCACTCCCATAGAGCCCACTACAATAGCAACTACCACCTCTTCCACAGAACCCACCACCACTCCCATAGAACCCACTACAGTAGTAACTACCACCACTTCCATGGAACCCATTACAACAGAAACCATCACTTCCACAGAATCCACCACCACAACAGCAGTCATTACCACTCCAATAGAACCCACCACCACAACCACCATCACCACCACTTCCACAGAACCCACCATCACAACCACCATCACCACCACTTCCACAGAACCCACCATCACAACCACCATCACCACCACTTCCACAGAACCCATCACCACAATAGCAGATACTACCTCAACAGAGCCCACAACAGCCACCATCACTTCCACAAAACTCACCACAATACCCATCACCACTTCCATTGAACCCACTACAATAGCATCCACAATTGCTCCCAGAGAAGCCATCTCCACAACAGCCACCATCACTTCCACAGAACTCACCACCAAAACAGCAACCACCACCACTTCCATAGACCCCATCACTACAACAGCAACCGCCATCACTTCCACAGAAGCCCCCAAAACAGCAGCCATCACCACCTCCACAGAACTCACCACAATACCCATCACTTCCACAGAAACCACTACAATACCAACAACCAACAACCTTTCCACAGAGCCAACCATCACCACAACAGAAGCCACCACCTCCTTAGCAATACCTACCACTTCATCAATAGATCTCACTACCACAGCATCAGCAGCAACCACCTCAGCATCTACCACAGCTGCTACTCAAATTACCACTAACCCTCCCACTACCATATTGCCCAGAACCACGATCCAAATGACAACCCCCAAACAGACAACAATCAAAAAAGCTTTAAAGGATCTATGGAATAAAGTTGTTTCCTTTTTTGGTTGAAGATATGAGAAGTGATATTTTCCAAACTGCTCTCAGCTCTTAGGAAAAATAAACTCCAACTATTTTAATAGAATCAATCCTGATCTAACTAGCACATCAGAGTAATAAAATAAAGTACTATCTGAGCAACAACAATCACCTATTGCTGTCGTGATAACTACCATGCTATCCTATATTTTGTTACCTACCAACAGCTGATCAGTTTTTCAGAAGAAAACAGAGGCCCTTAACTTTTTTTTTAAGGCATTTTATAAAGGATATACTTAGAGTTGGTAGGATTAAGTGAGCCAGCAAGGGATGCTGAGGCATTCAGGGCCTAGCCACAGTGGAGATGGTAGTGTGCCTAGGCTTGATGGGGTAAAAGGATCAAATGCCAACACCAGAGCCTGAATGACAGTTGAGACAGTGGACCAAAGGCCACCAGTGGGACCTTTTTCTGTGAAGGGGTGTAACTACTGCTGGATAATGCAGCCCACAGCATGGAAAGGGCAGGATAGTACCCATAGCTCCCTCCCTCTCCTATTGCTTTCATCACTGGGCTCCAAATAAAGTCTCACAGGCAAGGGAACCCATGTAATAAAGTTTGTATGGTCATCCTCCCAGGGTAGACAGCTAAGCAGAGAAGGCTAAATTGCTAATAAAGAACTGGCTCAGCATCTTGAAGCCAAAACTCACCACAATACCCATCACCACTTCCATAGAACCCACTACAATAAGTAGGCAAGGAAACAAATGACAGTTCCTGGCTTCCTGCACAGAAAGGGGAAGAGATGGCAGCAGGATAAATTATAAAGTTTTATCCATTTTTATTGCCTTTTCCTGGAAATGCACATATCTACAAGGGAACTAGGCAATAAAAATATAAGTAAAAATGTAATATAATTTCAAAGAAAATAAACAAATTAAATTGAAATGTAAATAATATATATAAATATATCAAAATAAACAATAAATATATATTACAATAGCCTACAAATATGAAACGCTAAATAATATCTTAATAAAAACCAATTTACCTCCCTCGAAATACTTCTCAAATCATACAATCATTTTGATTCATTTATTTCTGGAGTGAAAAGTTTGTTGTATCTATTCTAGCAAATCTAAACATCTGAATGAGATATGAAGCAGCATTTTACTTACTTAATTAAAGTAGAATTAAAATGAATTTTATTATAGCAGAAAATTACTTGTTAGAATGCAACCAGCAAATATGGTTACAGACTTACCTGTGCTCAATCAACCTAATAATACCAATCAGGTATGTTGCTGTCACTTCAAAATTTTATTTGTCTCTCTTGTTCTTTGATTCTTTTACACAAAAAGATTACACCAGTTCTTTGGGGTGTGTATGAAAAGTCAGAGTTATATGTATTTGCATCTATGTATATTTGTCCTTTTAAGAACAACTTTGAACTCCTACTCTATGGCACTACATGCCAGATTTCTCCAATGTCTTTGTCAAGTGTCATCACCAAAATCTGGTTTCTAAACATCTATGCTGCTTATGCATTATAAATAAACCCACACCCAACTAATTTTCCAGCATGGGACTATCAGAGTTTCTGACATGACACTGGATTTTTCCTGGGTAACATACCAGAATAACATTGCAGTCAAACTCTGTGTGGTGTGATTCCATAGATGACATCTTCAAAAGTGCCAAGGAGGTTATAATTGACTCTACCACCACCCTACTGGGGACAAACATCTCCCAAGTCACCAAATGTTTTGGACGGCTTAAAAACCACCCTTGTGAAACTTGGGGTATTGCAGCTGTTTCCTTGATTTAGCTGCTCAATACCACACTATATATGCGTGAACCAAAAATCTGGACCTACTTGGCCAGGTAACAGAATCAAGCTTTATAGCTGCCAAAACCAGACTGTAGGCCTTCTGTACCAGCTCTTTGGCAGTCTGTTCTGCTCTCACAGATTGACAGGATGTATGGATGTTAACCAAAATCATGAAATATTTCAGATCCTACGAATTACAGATTTCACTTTAACCTGATCAGTAAACCACACTGCTCTTTTTATTTTATGTGCAATAGAGTATATAAAGGGTTCCCACCTAACTGCTTAGGACTATAAGGTCTTGGATACCTGAGCCAGGCATCCTTCTGTCCCTAAATACTCTGCACTAAATGTCAGCCAAATTGCAAATTTGGGCTCCTTTGTTCATAACATTGTGCCACAACAATGTGCATTGAGAAACTGTAGAAAATTCACTGGTGTATCACAACTCCAAGTTTTCAGCGTTGCGGGTCTTATTCCTCAGCTTTGGAGATTACAGATTGGAAAAAGTGATCTTGAATCTCTTCGTGGTAAGAAAACAAGAATACCACTATGCAAATTTTGGGAAGATCCCAGTCAGAATTTAACAGCTTAGCCTTTGTTGTACTACAAACTCCTCATGCCCTGGATACACTGACTGCCCAGCAAGGAGAAGCCTGTGCAATCATTGGTGAAGAATGTTGTTTCTATGTAAACCAAGTGGGACATACAGCATCTAACTTAAGTCTGTTAAAAGGAAAGATTAATATTTTCCATCAGATAAAAAAAGCAAAGACATTGTATTGGACTGACCTATTCCCAGAAATTGGAGACTGGTTTAATGGGGTATGCGAAAATTCAATCCAGTTCCTTCTTTTCTGTTTGCTCATCCTATTATAATATTTTCCTCTCTTTGCAGACTTTTTACCACTCAGATTTTAACCCATTTTCTCTCTCTGAAGCCTCCAGCCCATCTGTTAATAGGTGGAACTTCCAGGGAAGTTTTAGAGGAGGAAACTTTTAGGGTTCAAGACAGGTCACCCCAAAATATCCCACAATGGCATATTGATTACTTTGAATTAAAGTTACTTGATATACAGCTCATGCAGAAAGGCGTCTGGACATCCCTTGTCTTCTTTAATGCAGAAAATAAATCTTCAAAGTGAAAGATGTCCTGTCCTCCCCATACCTGGAACACACCCCTTATTACTTGAGTTAAACAAATTCAGAGCTGAAAATTCCTTTTAATCAAATCTTATTGCCTCTTTTCTAACTTGTTCTTTGGTTTAAATTCTTCATTAATGAAGATCCAAATCTTGCTTCAATTCCTTTCTAATGAGCCCTAATATTCTTTGTCCTGTAGATTTCTCACAAATTTATTGTTTCTTTGTCAAAAAAGAATAAAGGTGCCTGGTTCTCTCATTTCTCTGAGCCTCATTTTGTGATCTGAGCATATTACTGTGATTCTTCCATCCACATATATTAAATTGGTTTTTCTCCTGTTAATCTAGACTTGTGTCAATTTTATTATTTTATAACTAGTCCAGCTATAAGAACTAAAGAAGGGGTGCAGAGGATTCTCCCCCTCCTTGACACTGGGTACTGAGTCAAAGCATATCTGCATCCTATAAAATATAGCCCCATTCTTAGAGCGTATGCACTCTCAGCTGGCATCATAAAGTCTTCAGTATGCCATTCCACAGTCCCATTAGGCTATCTGCTTTTCTGTGAAGGAGCATGTAGTAAGAAGAATAAATTCGACATGCACGAACTCATTCCATACTCTTTTGCTGGGAAAGGAGGGGTCTTTTTCTGATTTTTTTTTTTTTCCTTTCAATTTTTTAAAAATATGTCTTTATTGATTTCAGAGAGAAGAAGGGAGATGGAGAGAGAGACAGAAACATCAATGATTGGAGAGTCATTGATCGGCTGCCTCCTGCACGCCCCCGACCAAGCCCACAGACCAGGCATGTGCCCTGACCAGGAATTGAACTTAGATCTCCTGGATCATAGGTTGATGCTCAACCACTGAGCCATGCCGGCCGGGCTCTTTCTTTCAATTTTATTTTGTATTAGTTTCAGGTGTACAGCTTAGTGATTAGACAATCATATACTTTATGTAATCTTCTCCTCAATATTACCAGTACCCCAACTGGCACCATACATACTTATGCAATATTATCGACTATAGAGAAATGAGTTTCTTGATCTGAAAGATGTGGGAAAACACCACTACTGTTGTGGGAATACAGCACTCTGTAAGTCCATACTTTGGTACTATAACATAAGTATCATGGATAGAAAGGCAAATTCATATCCAGAGGATGTGTCTGTTCAAGTACAGGCAAATCTCTTTCTCCTCTAATATGGGTGGGGTAGAGTATAATCAACTTGATATCAAGTGTCCAGGAGACGGTTCTCAAAAAGGCATCAATGGAATCAATTTTCTTCAAAACTCTAGGTCTCAGTATAATTGTGCTATTGTTACCTGACAGAGGGTTCATACAGTATCCTCATCGGTCACATTCTCTTTAACACTGGATCAACTGAATCTTAAAAGGTCCAAGCTGAAGAGCGCCTGGGACTGCACACTGGACTTGCTATAGAGCTTCCTGTTGCTTTGGTCCCCACTCAGAACTGGCAGCTTGATGTGTTACTCAGTAAATTGAGATCAGGGGTAGCTCACTCATGCATGAGTTAAAATTTATTTATTTAGAGAGAGAGGAAGGAAGAAGGAGAGAGGGAGAGAAACATTGATAGGCAACCATGGCATGTGCCCCAACAGGAAATCGAAATCAAATCGGCAACCCCTTGGTGCCATGAATGATGCCCAACTAGCTGAGCCACACCAGCCAGGGCATGAGTTGAAATGTTGACAAACATTTACTAATCACATGAGTCAGATTTTTATATGGCCAATTTCATTTAATCTTCTGAACAATTCTATCAAGTAGAATTCGTACTATCTAATTTTGTAAATGACAATGTTGATACATATGTAATTAACTAATAATCCATACAACATACAGCTAAACACAGGATGGGAGCTGGAATTCCAACCAAGCTACTTTACTTCATCCCACGCATGCCACTACACTACAGCAAAAGGCTTTCACATTTTCTGACTGCAACTCAAAGACATAATTTACATATCCATATATATAACCATAAAATATTTCTTGAAAAATACTTACATGTAATGCAATCTGATACTTCCTTTTCTAG